CCCCACTGTCCCTCCCCTCCCCTCCACTCCCCCAACCTAGCCCAGTGAGTGTTCCCTTCCTGTGCCCAAGTGTTCTCATTGTTTATCACCTACTTATGAGTGAAAAGAAACACGTGTTGTTTGGTTTTCTGTTCTTGTGTCAGTTTGCTGAGAATGATGATTTCTAGATTCATCCATGTCTCTACAAAGGACACGAACTCATTGTTTTTTATGGCTGCATAGTATTCCATGGTGTATATGTGCCACATTTTCTTTGTCCAGCCTATCATTAATGGGCATTTGGGTTGGTTCCAGGTTTTTGCTATCATAAACAGCACCCCAAAAAACATACGAGTGCATGTGTCTTTGTAATAGAACAATTTATAATCCTTTATGTGTCTGTAGAGTTTCCAAAATTCCTTTTGCTACTGATTTCTAGTTTTTTTTTCCACTGTGGTCAGAGAAGATACATGATATTGTTTCAATTTTTAAAAAATGTTTTAAGACTTATTTTGTGACCTATCATATGGTCTATTCTTGAGAATGATCCATTTGCTGAGGAGAAGGATGTGTATTCTGTAGCTGCTGGATGAAATGTTCTGTAAGTATCTATTAGGTCCTTTTGATCTATAGTGCATATTAAGTCCAGTGTTTCTTTGTTGATTTTCTGTCTAGATGATCTGTCAAGTGCTGAAGGTGAGGTGTTAAAGTCTTAGGCTATTACTGTATTGAGGTCTGTCTCTCTCTTTAGCTCTGATAATATTTGCTTTACATATCTGGGTGCTCTAGTATTGGATATATATATATTTACAATTGTTATCTATTCTACCTGAATTAACCCCTTTATCATTATATAATTTTATTTATCTCTTTTTATAGTTTCTGTCTTGTAATCTAGTGTGTCTGATATAAGTAGCTATTCCTACTCTTTTATGGTTTTCATTGGCATGGAATATAATTTTGCATACCTTTGTTTTCAGTATATATGTGTCTTTATAAGAAAAGTGTGTTTGTTGTAGGTAACAGATTCTTAGGATTTTGTTTGCTTATTCGGCCACACTTTGTGTTTTGATTGGAGAGATTAAACCGTTTACATTCAGTGTTATTATTGATAAGGACTTGCCCCTGCCATTTCATTACTTGTTTTCTCATTGTTTTGTGGTCTTCTCTTTCTTCCTGTTTTTCTGTTACTGATGGTGGTTTTCTTAATGGTGTGTTTTAATTTATTGCTTTTTATTTTTTGTATATCCCTTCTATGTTTTTAAACTTGAGGTTACCATGAGGCTTGCAAATAGTATCTTATGACCCATTATTTTAAACTGATGACAACACTGATTGCATAAACTAACAAATAAGCAAAAGGAAAACTAATAAAAATTGTAAACTTTAATTTCATCTCCCCACTTTTTACCTTTTGGTTGTTTCTATTTATATCTTATTGTACTGCCTCTGACTTGAAAAGTTGTTGTAGTTTTTTTTATTGGTTCATCCTCTTGTCTTTCTACTTATCATGTAAGTAGTTTGTATATCATAATTACACTGTTATAATATTGTGTTTTTCTGTGTACTTACTACTACCAGTGAGTTTTGTACCTTCCAATTATTTCTTCCTCATTAATGTCCTTTTCTTTCAGATTGGAGAACTCCCTTTAGCACTTCTTTTAGATCAGGTCTGGTGTAGATGAAATAGATGAAATTTCACAGCTTTTTTTTTTTTTTCTTTGAGATAGAGTCTGGCTCTTGTTGCTCAGGCTGGAGTGCAGTGGTGCTATCTGGGCTCACTGCAACCTCTGCCTCCTGGGTTCAAGCAATTCTCCTCTGTCAGCCTCCTGAGTAGCTGGGATTACAGGTGCCCACCACCATGCCTGGCTAATGTTTGTAGTTTTGGTAGAGACGAGGTTTTACCATGTTGGGCAGACTGGTCTCAAACTCCTGACCTCAGGTAATCCCCTGCCTCGGCCTCCCAAAGTGCTGGGATTACAGGCATGAGCCACTGCTCCTGGCCCACAGCTTTTGTTTTTCTGGGAAAGTTTTCTCCTTTAGGTTTGAAGGATATTTTCTCTGGATACACTACTCTAGGTTTAAAGGTTTTTTCCTTCACTTTAAATATGTCATGGCATGCTCTCCTGGACTATAAGGTTTCCACTGAAAACACTACTACTGGGTGCATTAGAGCTCCATTATATGTTATTTATTTTCTCTTACTGCTTTTAGGATCCTTTCTTTATCCTTGCCCTTTGGGAGTTTAATATTAAATGACTTGAGTTAGTCTTTCAGTTAAATCTGCTTGGTGTTCTATAACCTTGCACTTGAACCATTGATATTTTCTCTACCTTTGAGAAGTTTTCTGTTATATTTTTGAATAAACTTTCTACTGCTATCTCTCTCTGCCTCCTCTTTAAGGCCAATAACTCTCAGATTTTCCCTTTTAAGGCTATTTCTAGATTTTGAAAGTATGCTTCATTATTTTTTTAATCTCCTTTAACTGTGTGTTTTCAAGTAGCCTGTTTTCAAGCTCACTAATTCTTCTGCTTGATCAATTCTGTTAAGAGACTGATGCATTCTTCAGCATGTCATTTGCATTTTTTAGCTCTAGAATTTCTGCTTGATTCTTTTAATTCAATTTATTTGTTAACTTTATCTGATAAGCTTACCAATTCCTTCTCTGTGTTATCTTGAATTTCTTTGAGCTTCTTCAGGATGACTATTTTAAATTCTTTGAATTCTCTGTCTGAAAGGCCACATATCTCTCTCTTTCCAGGATTGGCCCCCTAGTGCCTTGTTTAGTTTGTTTGGTGAGGTAATGTTTTCCTGGATGGTCTTGATGCTTGTGGATGTTTGTCAGTGTCTGGGCATTGAAGAGTTAGGTATTTATTGTAGTTTTTGCAGTCCAGGCTTGTTAGTACCCATCTTTCTTGGGAAGGCTTTCCAGAGATTCAAAGGGATTTCAGTGTTGTGATTTAAGTTTTTGGTCACTGCAGCTGTATCTGCACTAGGAGGCACCCCATGCCCAGTAATGCCGAAGTTGTTGCAGACTCTTAGAGGTACTACCTTGGTGGTCTTGGATAAAATCCAGAATTCTCAGGATTAACAGGCAGAAGCCCTTGTTCTTTTCCCTTACTCTCTCCCATATGGAGCCTCTCTCTCTCTCTGTGCTAAGCTGCCTGGAGCTGGGGGTGGGGTGACATAAGTACCCCTGTGGCCATCACTACTAGGAATGTGTTGGGTCAGACCTGAGGCTAGCACAGCTCTGGGGCTTGCCCAAGGCTCATTGTAACTACTGTCTGGCTACCCCGTATGTTTGCTCAAGGATGTAGGGCTCTGCAGTCAGCAGGTGGCAAAGCAAACCAGGCTGGTGACCTTCCCTTCAGGGTGGCAACATCCCCCAGGTCATAGTCGGGTCCAGAGATGCTGCCGTCCAGGAGCCAGGGCTTGGAGTCAGACACCTTAGAAATCTACCTGATGCTGTATTCTACTGCAGCTGAGCTGGTGCTGAAACCACCAAAGTCCTTACCACCCTTCCTTCCCAGGTAGAGGCATCTCTCCCCATTTCCACCACTACCACAGGCCCATGGGAGGTACTGCCTGGCTACTGCCAAGATTCACTTAAGGCCCAAGGGCTTTTCAGTCAGCTTGTGGTGAGTGCTGCCAGGCCTGGGACTCGCCCTTTAGGGCAGTGAGCTCTTTTCCAGCCTAGGGCAGGTCCAGAAATGCCAGCCAAGGGCCAAGGCCTGGAGTCAGAGACCACAAGAGCCTGCTTGGTGCTCTTCCCCACTATAGCAAAGCTGGTACTCAAGCTGATTTTGGTTCTTATGAAGTTGCTTTTTGTGTAGATCGTTATCAAATTTGGTGTTCCTGAGGGAAGGATGATCAGTGGAGACTTCTATTTGGACATCTTGTTCCACCTTCTCTCCAACATAGAGATTTTTATAGTAGATCTGAATAATATGTCGTCTTTATTACTGATTATATTGTGCTGATTAAAAATAACAACCTTCACAATTGTATAATTGTTTTTTATACAAAAGTACCAGGAAGTAAGCATTTGGTCTTCTGGTGTTTAAAGAGATGAAATGGAAGCCAGATAGATTTTAGTGTATCTCTAGTTATGACCAAATTTATACATGTCATTACTCCAAAAAATACTACCAGCAAGTAATAAAATGATTTCATGGCATGTATAAATGGTGTCAAGTAAAATGGCAATTCCAAGAACTTAATTAAAGATGATCTGAGGGAAGAAAACAATGCTTTTATTTTTTTATGGCATATCCACAGGACCACGGTTCACAATCCACAAAAGTCATTTGAAAAACATGTCCCATGAGACTTGCCCTTCATAGCAGTCTCTCAGTTCCTGGCATTTCACATTATTAGAACAGATCTGACATTTTACATTCTTTTTGCTTCGTTTGTCTCTGTAGTCCTGCTGTTGGCATGGTGCTCTAGCGTGGCAGGAAGCTTTAATGAAGCAGCTACGAGGGCGGGCTCTGGAACTTCCTAGCTGTGCAGTCTTGGGCAAGTCACTTAACTTGTTTGTTGCCTTCATCACTACAACAGCAGTCCACAACCTTTTTGGTACCAGGGACCAGTTTCGTGGAAGACCATTTTCCACAGAACTGGGGGATGCGGGGGTGGTTTCTGGATGAAACTGTTCCACCTCAGATCATCAGGCATTAGAGTCTAATAAGGAGCACACAATCCAGATCCCTCACGTGCACAGTTTGTCGATTCTATAAAATAAGAATAGAGAAACTACCTCTTAGAATTGTGCAGATTTATTTAATTCTTGTAAAAATATGCAGCACAATTTCTAGCACCAACATAGCATTTAACCAAAGTCATCTATTAATATAGTAGACAATGTATAACTTTGAGTCAATAAAATGAATGAGGTTCATGGTCATGTAAATAGGCATCATCCTTCTTAATTCAGGTTCACATGTTAGAGGTAAGTTTTAAAGAAAATCAAAAGTTAAACATTTTATTGAAGAATGTAGCCTTTTTTTTTTTTTTTTCAGATGCTGTCTTCGCAGGTGCCATGCCTACAATGGCAAGCGTCAAGCTGTCTACACTTCATCCCATTGTGAATCATCCACATTACGAGGATGCAGACTTGAGGTTGGTGGCTGATGAATATTCATCTAGACTCACTTGCTATTTACTATTAATTCTTAGGAATGGGCAAAATTTTTACACACACACACACACACACACACACACACACACACAGTCATCCTCATTTTAATGCTGGAAGTTAAAAAAAAAAAATTGAAAGTATCCAGAAATGGTAATACATACCTCTTGCCCCTGAAGCAAGCAGACCTCCGAAAACTCAAAAAAGCAAAATCCATTTTTTCCCAAAGTGACAACTGTGTCACAGTCCCAGCAAAGCTCCTAGGTAGTTGGAAGAGGAGGTAGGATGGATTTTACTCATAGTCATGGTTTGCCAACCCCCTCTCTATACCACAAGCCCCACTCTGATTTAAGAAATGATTTCTAGATCTTACTGGTGGCCAATGACTAGCTTTTTGTGACAGCTAGAAAAGTACATGAAAGTTGCTATTATATTTTATGTGCTTTTATGAAAATTTATTTTTGCCAGCCAATTATGAGAACTCTAGTTTCCACTGAAGCCTAAAAGTTTTGTTTTCCTTAATTTGCTGGTTTGAAAAATTATTTTGATTATGCTAGTAGTTGTCAGGCTAATCTTTTTCTCAAAGTGGATTTTTGGCCTATTGTTAGAGGCAAATCTTTAAATTATTTTAAAGTTTTAGGTCTGCTGTCTAGGAGCCAGGGCCTGGAGTCAGACCCCTTAGAAATGTACCTGATGCTCTGTTCTACTGCAGTGAACTGGCATGGAAACCACTGTCGTGACTGAGCATCCCCTATGCTTGAAATTCTAAGCAACATCCAGTGCATAAATGATAATTTGTCAGGACTTTATAAGAGCTCCCAGTTATGGTCAAATCACCTATTGTGTCATATTTTGGTGACCATCCCCATTTCTCAAGATTCTGTGAAGGTGCTTTTCCTACCTGTTCTGACATCCTGGATGCCCACTGTCTAAGTGGCTGATACACTCAGCTTCAATTCATGTGTTTGTCAGAGCTCCTTTGGATGAATTTAAGCATTGAAAGATATGTTTTCACTACATTTGGTCTCCATCAGAATATATTCTCTGATAACTCTTTGAATTATGTGTAGCAAATTTTATCCTGACCTGCTCTCTGCTGCCCTGTACAACTTTAGACTAGTTTATACACTAATAAGCAGTATATGCAAAATTAAAACTGCTGTAAGTTTTGTTACATTCAAAATATAAGTAGGAATGTGGAAACTGCCATCCCCAAAATAGTTGATGCTGTTTTGAGCCATGTTATCAACATTCTATCCAGTGAGTATTAAGATTTCAATTTGCTAGTAAGATTTTTTTAGTCTATTCTATTATCATTTATTTTAAAATCTTTTAAACTATTGTTTAAATTTGAAGGGCCCGGACAAAAATAGTTTATTCTACATATAGTCGAAAATCTACCAAAGAAGTAAGAGATAAATTGCTGGAGTTACATGTGAATTATTATGTTTTAGAAGAGGCATGGTGTATTGCGAGAACTAAGTGAGTATTAACCCTATGCTATTTGATATGGTATATTTTTAAGCCACAAATGTTTTACTTTATTACAGTAGTCCTGATTCTTTAAGAATTTTTATTTTAAATTAATTAAAATATTATCTTGGTATCTTAGTTTAAATTATTTCATCTAGAGAAGCAAAATTATACTATCAATGAAGTAGGATTTAATTCCAAACATTATTGTGTATTTTAATATCCTGATTTTTCAATTTAATTAACACCTTCCACTTAGCTTTATTCATAATTTTTGAAATATTCATGAAAATTTTTTTAGATATCTGAAATATGGATTTGAATTTACAACAAAGTGAGATATTAGTATTCTATACTATAGCTGAATTATATTGGATTTGTAAGACTTAAAAGTGACGAAACCCAAAATGTCATAATAAGAAAAACATCCCTAATTAAAATTTTTAAATATCAGAATTTGGAATCTCTAAAAATCATAAAATTCTAAGATGTGTAATGGATCTTTTGAGACCTTTGTTTAGACTCCTAAGCAGAGATATTAGCTGCTGCACATGACAGGAAATTCAGGCACATTGTCTCCTAGAACAACGCATTGGCAATCAGAAGAACAAAACAGGTTCTACGGTAACTTCAATATATCATTTACAATGTGCAGAAAGTTTCAGAGATGCAAACTAAAATGAGAAAGTATGACCAATACTCTGAAAAAAAATAAGCTAACAGAAATCAAGTAGGTCCAGATGTTGGATTTAGCAGCCAAAGACTGCAAAGCCACTACTACAAATAGGTTCAAAGGCTTAAGAAAAATATAGTCAATGAATTAAAAGAAAACATGGTATCCCGTGAGTGAAGAGATATGGAATCTCAGCAGAGAAATGGAAACACTCTAGTCCCCATAGAAATTCTAGAGCTGAAAAGTATAATAAATGAAATGAAAATGTACTCAACAACAAGTTTGAGATGAAAACAGAACATTGAACAGAAAATTCAGTGAATTTGAAGGCAGATCAAGAGAAAATAGTTAATCAAAAGAACAGGAATCAAAAAGATTGATAAATAACCGAAGCCACAGATCTATGTAACATTAAGTAGTTCAACACATAATTTTAGTACTAGACATAATGAAAAAAAGAACATGACAGAAAAAATACTGAAGAAATGTTGGCCAAAAATTTTTCAGGTTTGATAACCACTATTAACTTAGAGATCTGCTAAGCTCAATAACTCCAACTGGGTTAAGCTTAACAAAAACCAAAGCAAGGCATATTATAGTCAAAATGGTAAAATCAAAGATTAGGAGAAAAATCTTGAAAATGAGAGAAAAAATGATATGCTACATAAACATTTGACTTCTTAACATAAATAGTGGAAATCAACAGACACTGGAATGATAATTCAAAGTGCTGAAGAAGAAAAATCAAGAATTCTATATTTAATGAAATTATCTTTTTAAAATGAAGGCCAAAAATATTTTTCAGATCAACAAATCTAAGATAATTTGTTGGTAACAGATTTACACTTCAAGATGGACAAGAAGTTCTATAAGTTAATGAGAAATGATGCCAAATGGTAACTCAGATATACAAGAAATACTGAAATGTGCTGGAAATGGTAAATGTGTGGGTATTAATCAGTATACATTTTTCTTCTCTGAAAACCTTTAAAAGATATTAAAGTAAAGGTGATACCATTATATTTTTTAGTTTATAACAAAATAAATATACATGACAATAGCACAAAAATTAAGTAAATGGAAATGTATGATTTACTAGAAATAACCCAATTTAAATGGTAAGTAAATCATGATATGTTAAAGATGATTATTGTAATCCCTAACAAAACCACTCAAAAAAGAAATAAAACAATAGGGAAAATAAGAGCATAATGGCAAGCCTAGACATGGATGAGCCTGGATACATTAAGTGAAATAAGTGAGCCATAGAAAGATGAATAGTGCATGTGGAAGTGCTTCCACTCATGTAGAAGCTAAAAGAAGTAGCCCATAGAAGTAGAGTAGAATTGTGGTAATTAATTAGAGGCTGAGTGGGAAGGGTAGGGAGGAAAAGAGGATAAGGAGAGGTTAAGAGATACAAAATTATAGACAGAAGAAATAAGTTCTAGTGTTCTCTGGCACTATAGAGTGAATATTAGTTAAGAGTAATTTATCATCACTGGTCATCAGAGAAATGCAAATCAAAACAACATTGAGATACCATCTCACGCCAGTTAGAATGGCGATCATTAAAAAATCTGGAGACAACAGATGCTGGAGAGGATGTGGAGAAATAGGAACACTTTTACACTGTTAGTGGGAGTGTAAATTAGTTCAACCATTGTGGAAGACAGTGTGGCAATTCCTCAAGGATCTAGAAATAGAAATTCCATTTGACCCAGCAATCCCATTACTGGGTATATATCCAAAGGATTACAAATTGTTCTACTATAAGGACACGTGCACGCGAATGTTCATTGCAGCACTGTTTACAATAGCAAAGACCTGGAACCAACCCAAATGCCCATCGACGATAGACTGGACAGGGAAAATGTGGCACATATACACCATGGAATATTATGCAGCCATCAAAAACGATGAGTTTGTGTCCTCTGTAGGGACATGGATGAACCTGGAAACCATCATTCTCAGCAAACTGACAGAAGAGCAGAAGATCAAACACCGCATGTTCTCACTCATAGGCGGGTGTTGAACAATGAGAACACATGGACACAGGGAGGGGAGCACTACACACTGGGGTCAGTTGGGGGGAAATAGGGGAGGGACGGTGGGGGGTGGGGAGCTGGTGAGAGATAGCAAGGGGAGAAATGCCAGATATAGGTGATGGGGAGGAAGGCAGCAAATCACACTGCCACGTGTGTACCTATGCAACAATTTTGCATGTTCTTCACATGTACCCCAAAACCTAAAATGCAATAAAATAAATAAATGGGGGGGAAAAAAAAGAGTAATTTGTCATATATGTCAAGTCAGCCAGAACAGAGGATTCTGAATGTTCCCAATACAAACAGATGGTAAACATTTGAGGTGATGGATATCCTAATTACCCTGATTTGATCATTACACATTGTAATCATGCATTGAAATATCACTGTATTCCCCATAAATATGTGCAACTATTACTTGCCAACTGAAAATTGAAGGGGAAATAACCTAAACATATAAGTAACCTAAGACCTAGCAATTGTACTGGGCATTTTTTCCCAGAAAGATGAAAAGTTGTGTTCATACAAAATTCTGTAGAAAAATGCCTATAGCAGCCTTATTTGTAATAACTTAAACCTGAAACAACTCAGATGTTTTTCACAAGGTGAATGGTTAAGCTAATAGTGATCCATTCATACCATGAAATACTGCTCAGCAATAAAAAGGATCAAACTATTCATACACGCAGGAACCTGGATGAATCTCCAGAGAATTATTTGAATGAAGAAAAGACAATCCCCAAAGGTTATGTACTATATGATTCCACTTATATAACTGTCTTCAAATGACAAAATTATAGAAATGGAGAATGATTTGTGGTTGCGAGGGGTTAGGGTGGGGTGCTAGTATGGGGGAAGAATAGTATGTGTGGCTACACAAGGAATCTCTGTGGTGATGAAAATGCTCTCTATCTCCATTCTATCAATGTAAACAATCTGGCTGTGATACAATGTTCAAGATGTTACCATGGGGGACACTGTTTAAAGACTATACAAGAGCTACTTGTATTATCTCTCAATATGGATCTCCAAATGTCTTGAAATAGAAAAGTTTTTTTTTTAATAAAAGAGCACAATAGCAAGTCTGTATCAAACCATATCAGTAATTTCAAAGTGAAAGAGGACTAAACTCTCCAAACAAAAGGCAGAGATTGGCATACTGAATACAAAAGCAAAACTTATCTATAGGCTGCCTGCAAGAGGTGCATTTTAAATACAAATATGTATTTTGGCTGAAGGAGAAAGAATGGCAAAAATATCATTTGAATAAATATGAGAAATCTGAAGTGAAAATGTATAAATATCAGATAACATGTTTAGACAAAGAATAATACTAGAGCCAACTATGTTTTATAATGCAAAATAGATCAATACAGGAGAAAGATATCATAATCTGAGTGCATATGAACATAAAAGAATTTCAAAATATATAAAGCAAAAATTGACAAAACCCATAAGGAAACAAACAAGATAAAAATGAAATTATAAAAATCACTCAATCCAAAAGAAGACAGAAAAAGTGGGAAAGGGAGACAAAGATCAGATGGAACAAACAGAAAACACCAAGATGATAGACTTACACCTAACCATATCAATTATCACATTAAGTGTAAATGGACTTGTGGTAGGCTGAATAATGAGCCCCCCATGATGTCCATGTCTTAATTCCCACAAATTGTGAATTATGTACTCACTTGGAAACAGGAAGTCTGCAAATGTGATTGATGTTCATGAGATGTAGAGATTATCCTTATTATCCAGGTAGGACAAATGTAATTACAATGTCTTTATAAGAGGAGGCAAAAGAGTAAGAGAGAAATGGTGATGTGATGATAGAAGCAGAAGTTGGAGTTATAGAGGGCCACAAGCCAAGGAATGAGGCCAGTGTCTAGGAGCTGGAAAAGGCAAGGAAGTGGATTTTCTTCTAGGGCTTCCGGAAGGATTGGAGTCCTGCCAACACCATGATTTTAGACTTATGATCTCCCAAATTCAAAGAGAATAAATACATGTTGCTTTAAGCAACTGTTTGTGGTAATTTGTTATAGCAGCAATAGGAAACTAATACAGCTCTAAACACCACAAATGAAAAGCAAGAATTGTCAGATTGCCCATAGCAAAGAAAGACCCTACTATAGGATACTTTCAAGAAATTTATTTAAATATAAAGAAACAAAGATGTTAAAAGGTAACAGATAGGAAAAGGACAGGTGATGCTACTACTAGTCAGTGAAAGCTGTAGTGGCTGTAATAATATCAAAGTACATTTGAATGCTAAGAATATTATCAAGGTT